AAGAAACATAGCCTCTCAAGCCGACATTCAACAAGCATTAACAGAAAAAATATGGAAGAAAAGCAAATAGATATGAATAATAAATAGAAGCACCACTGTACCTGCATGCACCATGAAATACAGCTGCTGCAGTCATTTCAGATTCTCCAAGACACCAGTACAAGCAATTACTGGAAACACAACATGCTGTCCAAAATAATTGATATGGCTGTTGTGTCTCCCTCATGCACTAACCTACTGCAAGGAAAGGGGTTTTGGAGGACAGATTTGCTGATTCTGCTGTTGTTTGTTTAATGACATTGTTTGGCACCTATCCCTGGTTTACTAAGTGGACTCAAGATGTTATTTTGCAGCTCATGAGTAAAACCAGGCAGAACAGAGGAAAATTTATATTTTATTACTTTGTGTGTGTGTGTATGTGTTTGCACTGCTGTCACTCTGTGATGAACGCCTCGCCATGTTCATACAACATTTGTATCCCCAAGGACTGCAAGGTGGTTGTCATTCATAAACCTCTTTCCCTGTGCTATACCTCACATGAGGCCACTTCCATCCTGTCTGGAGCAAAAGGGCTCAGTCACAGCAGAAACCTGTGACACTCATCATTAAACACAGAGGTGATTGCTGCTGTCTTGTGCCCTCCTTTGTACCAAACCCACAGCCTATCCCTACACCTGCAAAAAAGAGGTCTTTCTCTACAAGCCACTGAATGACCAAATTTGTAGGGTAATTTCCCCTTTCAGACCTGTAGTTTTCTCTATCAGGTGCTGAGGTGACAACGAGTGTCCTTTTAAAGTTGATATATTGAACACCTTTTTAACATGCTGTATAAGACAGCAAGGGCAAATGAATACATTTCTTTCTCAAACATTGTAAACACTGGGAGATAGCTATGAGACTTTCAGCATCTGTAGTTCTTTGACATCACTCTTAATTAAAATATATAAGCAAACTTCGGTAGTTTATGTGTTGATTTGTTTCAAGACAGAGTCAAGAAATGATTTCTGGTTTCCTTCTCTTTCAGTCTGACTTCAAATCGTGGTTGCAGTGCTCTTTATGACATGCCTTAATTTAGCTTTGCACCAGCTGATTCCAAATCCTTAATTAACCTTTTTAATTTCTCCAATTTTTACAATATGCAGGATTTTACATTACCATAATAATAATAATAATAATAAGAAGAAAATAATTCAAGCCATTAATGAATTATTAGTCCAACTAGTAGTAAAAATGTAATAATGATTGTGCATACCAAGATATGCTATGGGACTGTTGCATAATTGTATTCTACCAGCTCACAGAAACAAAATATTCAAGAAATAAGGACATCCCTGCATCTTGTGTAGTCCCAGATATGTCCTATTACTAGAGTAAAGTGACATTATGATGCAAATAAATTTTTAGTAATTTGTAATTCCACTTGTAATTCTATCCATTTGTAATTCTAACACTACTGATCAGGTTTTGGCAAACAGCAAGCATTGTAGACTCTTTAATGACCAACTGGCTGAGGGAAATGAAGTTCTTCAACCTGGAGAAAAGAAGGCTTTATAAGAGGGAGACCTCACAGAAGCTTTCCAGTGCCCAAAGAAGGCCCACAGGAAAGCTGGGGAAGGACTCTTTTTCAAGGAGTGGAGTGATAGGACAAAGAGTAGTGGCTTTAAAATAAAATGGGTAGATTTAGATTAGACATCAGGAAGGAATTCTTCACCCAGAGTGTGGTGAGGCACTGGCACAGGCTGCCCAGAGAAGCTGTGATTGCCCCATCCCTGGAGGTGTTCAAGGCCAGGCTGGATGGAGCTTTGAGCAACCTGATCTAGTGGGAGGTGTCCCTGCTTATGGCAGGGGGTTGGAATTAGATGGGCTTTACAGTCCCTTCCCACCCAAACCGTTCTATTATTCTAACTGATTTTCTCCTTGATTTAAGAATGGTTTCTAGTTAAGACTGAATGTTGCATACTCTGTAGCCTTAGGAAGAGGAAACATCCTAGTTTGCCTAGCTTGAACTGATGTGCCTGTTGAATCAAACAAAAACAAGATAGGTCCTGGCTAGAAGACAGATACTGTTGACTTTTCAAGCTCATGGTAAACTGAGAGAAAACACTGTGTCACTGTCGGCTCTGTATTAATTAATTAATTTATTATTGTTTACATCAGGGTAATAAACAATCTAAGACACATTCAATCTTCCACCTAAATTTCTTTCCGCTTATGTGTGCACCCTTTGGCACAATAGTTAACTACTTTGCATTCAGCAATGATTTTATTTCTTTGTCTCCTTGATACATTAAAGTAGTGTATCCATTTGGGGAAAAATGAGACGCATATAGGAAGTTTGTGGAAAAGAGAGACTAATCAGTTTTATTTCTCCCACACCACTGACACAGCCATCACGTCTGCTTATCAATCTACATGGAAAAATACATAGATTTTATTTCTAAGGAGTAAAGACTGTCCATGAGTTTATTTCTTCTAAAACCTTTTTTCCCCTCCACTATCTGGCTAATATCCAACATGCTTCTCATTTAAGATGGTGCTTTCTATTCTACAAGTATAGATTAGAAGGAAAAAAAAAAAAGAAAAAAAAGAAAAAAAACACAACCACCTCTTTTAAAGCATAGATTGAATAGAGTTACAACATTTGATTGTTCTGGATGACGAATCCTATTAAGGCTGATTAAGCAGCTAGGCAGCTTTGCACTTATTTGATATGACATTCAGTACCTGGGATGTGGTAATCTGATGCAACACATCGCTGCTCACTGACAAACCACCAGAAGCACAGAGACAACTGAGGTAATGTGGTTATATTTGGATCACTTTTTAAAAGGAGTTTTGAAGTTTTCATTTCTTTTCCACTGGTATTTTGCCAATGATTCCAAAAGGTTGAACCATCAACTGGCTGTATTCACCTGCCTCACTTCCTATTCAAAGTGGTCTTGAATTTAACTCTTGCCATGCCAGACTTTACACTAAGCCTTGCTTTTGTACTGTAAGAATTAGTAGACAGAAATTACTAGCTAGTTCTGCCTATTTAGGCACACGAGAGAAAATGTAGCTTGACCTTACCACTGAGCAACCCAAAAAGAATGTGATGAAAATAGCAGCTAACAAAGATCCCAGCACAAGGATGATCTACACATATTGGAAAGAGTCCAACATAGGGCTACCAAGATGATTAAGGGACAAGATCATCTCTCCTCTAAGGAAAGTCTGAAAGAGTTGGGCCTGTCAGCCTTGAGAAGAGAATTGTCAGGGGGATCATATCAATGTGTATGGATACCTGAAGGAAGGACATGAAGAAGGTGGTGCCATACTGTTTTCACTGGTGCCCAGTGCCAGGACAAAGGGAAATTGGCACAAAGTGTAATCAACGCAAGAGGTTCCATCTAAACATCAGGAAGCACTTCTGTACTGTACGGGTAATGGAGAACTGATATGCGATGCTCAGAGAGGTTGTGGTGTTTCCTTCCATGGAGATCTTCAAAAGTCCACTGTATATGCTCCTGGACAACTTGTTCTGAGAGTCCCTGCTTGAGCAGATGGGTTGGACCAGATGACCTATGGAAGTCCCTTCCAACCTTAACCATTTTGTGATTTTGTGATTCTGCAATTTGAGCACACCCATAACTGCAGATATGGAGTGGGTTACCACCCATCAGCTGGGAATTATAGATATCATTGAAGGAGATTCATGTCATATTTTCCTTTGTCATTGGGGCAGGTTAGAGGGACATACATCAAGATTTGCAGATTTTGGCAATCTGTCCTGCAGCCCCAGAGCACTGGGATTCTCATTCATCTGAGAGTATTTGTATTGACTTCACTGGGATCTGGATATGTCCCAAACTGTTAATGAAGAGTTTGAAAGCCTCTCAAACAAGGCCTTTTGTGCTCCAGTTTTTGGTTGCATCACAACAGGCATACACAGAAACTTCCTTTCTTCCTTTCTTCCAAAAACTTTATTTTCCTGTAAAAATATTAACAGTAAATTTGTTATTTTTCCTAAAATTGCAAAGCTAGCCTTTCTGTGAAGGAATGTGCAAAGTTTAGAACTTCTGAAATTGTTTTTTCAGAGCACGGCAGTGTCAATGGCAACAGATCATCCACAGGAAGAACCCTGGAAAAATAGTGGCAACTTAAGTGTTGTCGTCAAACTTCTTCAGTCCATTGAGCTGTGCAATTTCACATATAATCCCCAGTATACTTAACATAAGAGGGGAGTACCTGGGCAAGGAATGGTAAATATAAATCAACAGATATTGATATTCCTTTCAGACACAGTTAATATCAAGAGCATCAGAGTGTTTATGCTTATGCATTTAGGATAATATCCACCTGAATATATGTGGCTGGCAGTAATTACAGGATACAGACTGACAGATTTGGCATTGAAGAATTTTCTCTATTTAAAAATGATAACAGCAAAGGTTAGCATTAAGGTTGTTTTTCTCTTCATTTATTTCTCGATTCTTCTTTGTTTGTTTGTGTCTCTTCTCATTTTCACTAATTTGGACAGATGAACACACTGCACTGCTGTTACTGTCTGGCCTAACTGATGTTGTTTGCATTTTTGTAGAGGTTACATAGCACTTTTCCCCCCTTTTCTCTTTGATCTGCATAGTTCTTATCATGCAACAGAAGGGACTCAGAACTGATATGCCAAGATGTAGAGACACGCCAAATTTCCACTTTCAGTCGTCAGTAATGGCCTTGTTTGTGGAGGGCAGAAGACTATAAAGGATCATGTATGCTACTAAAGGAGTTAGTATTCCTTATTATAAACACAGTAGGCTGTTTCTTGCTACAAATGTTCCTAGTCATTAATACTGTTTTCTTTTCCTGAAAATATAAAATGCTCATTGCTCCTGCCTACAGTATGAGACATGAGCTAATGATGCTTTGCAAAGAAGTTCAATCTTGCTGACACAGGAGTGATCCTAACTTAACAATATGTCAGATTCAAAGTTATCTTTACTGACATTTCCAAGAGTCGCTACTGGCAATTGCATTCTGGACGTGATTCACTTACAGTTCTTCAAAATGCTGATTAAAATAAAGATACTGGATTAGAAAGGCAATCCAAAGAGAAGATTCTTTCTACTTTTAAATACATACTTAAATGATGCTAATGGAGATACAATTCTTGAAAGCTGATCTGAATATGGCCCTAAGCATTTTTAACAGCTACATGCCACGTCAAGGATTGCTCCTGTATGCTCTGTGCATCCAGTCCTCCCACACAGCTGCCTCTTTCATGAAAGGATAATCATATGAGCAGAGGAACAGCCCAAGTGCTCAGGGTTACAGCCGTGGGAGGCAGTAGCCAACCCTGAACTAATATTAACTTTGGATAGTTTCTAAATCTACCATTTCTATAGATCACCTGAATCATAGTCTTTCCTCATTAAGTGCTGTCATATATCTAACTTGTACTGATGTCTTACTGTGTAGGAGTGGGTATGAAGCAGAATTTATTTTCATTTGTGATCTAAACTGGATTTGAATCCAAATCTATGACAGTTACACAGATTAACCACAAAATGCCCTCTAGCCCTGTTGAATACATGCTTTCAAAGATTATGTCAGGATCATTTCTATTTACTGGAAACTGATGAATATAATGCTAGAGGATGGGTGGATATTTTATATGTCACACAGCAGGTTACTATCAATACTTAAAACTGGAATTGAGAGATAATACTAGAGGCTTCATTGAAATTCAGAATGAGGTAAATGAATAGAAATTACATTTTTCAGAAAATAACAAAGGCTACAGGATTCTTTCTGAGCTCATTGTAGTTATATACTGCTGAAATGCCTTTAACATTGGAAAAGCTCCACTGGATATACATGGTTGTAACAGATATCCAAAATGATCACTTAATAATACAGTATGGCAACGTGAAAGGACATGTTTATGATAATTTGGGGCTTTTCCATGGCTGTTCCCACCCCCTAAAAATATATATATATAAAAAATAAAAGCCAGATTTTCCCAGAAAGCAACACAGACAATATAAAACTTTTCAGGAAAATTCATAATTAGACAGTGATTCATCATTTTTAAACATTAACTTCGTTTAATTTAAGCTTTTTCTTCCCCCTCACCACCTTCCCCATTGGAAATATTCGTAATGTGCTGTTTTTGGTGCTTTCCCAAAGTAGACAGTACTTGCATATCTTTTCCCATAGCATTAAGTGGCATATGTTGAAACAGCTGCTGAAACTTGTTTCACCACAGTGCATTAAGCATTCTCTACCATTCCAATAACTAGCTTTAGCAGGATAGAAAGGCACATGGAATACTGAACCGTGGTGACTGCAAACACGACCTTGGTCCCACTGTCTTTTTTTTGTTGTCTGTATGGATGGACTGGGGTGTGTAAAGCATCAGCACCCAGCAAGCAAAGGAAGGATCCTGCCCAGCAGGAATAGCCACCTGCCACACTCCTTGAATTGGACATGTGTTGGGAAATTTCTTGGTGCTTCAGTTCTTCCCCTTCCCAGCAGTGTTTCTGCAGCTGGAAAAATCTGTCACCTTATCTTTGGGTGAAACACATTAAGAAGAATTCGTCTGGCTTCAGGACCCATCCTTGGCAGCTCAGGTTTGTAACTTCTGCAGGAAAGGGATACATTCTCTGCTCCCTCATTGCAACTAGCCTACCATCATCACCAGTATCAAGTATTTCAGATACAATTCATCTTGCTGAAATCTAGGTTGCTGCAATAATGACGTCTGACCCAAGCTTGTCATCCTGAGCTCTCGCTGCAGTCAGATGAGACAGGCTCAATGAATTTAGGAGAGTTAAGGTGTGATTTGTATGATGAGACGTAGGTGCCTTCTTTGGGATGAGCTGATTCAGTGGCTGTCCTCTTTGACAGAGTTGACTAGATGGTACCTCAGACAACCCGCTGTGATATAGATAGCTGTATTATAGACAACTTATCCAACTTATGGATGAGCATAATCTTGTCCTTTTGTGACTGCAGAATGTAGAAAGCATGGTAGAGCTTCATGAGAGTCCTAAAAACAGCAGTACCCTTTATCTTGTTTTCATTTGGAGATCACAGCTTTTTGGCTCAGGAGTTTTTGACTTTAAACCTGTTACAAAACAACTGTCCCTTGGTCAGAACCCACTACATTTCTTATAGCAAAAATCAACAAGAATTGTCTTTAAATAAAAACCTTTCTCCTTCATGGTATAATTCAGTACAAGTGATTTTCCCTTCTCTCACTTCTAAAACCCTCTATTCAACTACCCACAGATAGCAGAGACCATCTAGATGTCACCCTATGAATTCTGCTCTATAGGACTCTCCTCCCTGTCATGATGTGGAATCTCATACACCCTCCTACAGTAAGGAATACTTTGTCCTTATGGAGAAACCATGGGGTCTTTTACTCACCCAGTGTTTCCCTTGCAGCCAGCATGAACAATAGTGCAATAATATTTATTTTGTCATTAGAGTGCTAAAAAATTACGTTCATTCAAGTATAGTAATTTCCTCGTCCTCTGCAAAATCCTGGGACTGATAATAATATTTTCTACTGGGTTTAGAAATAAATTAGTTGCCTCTGAATGAAGCATGTCTCTGACTGATCTCCACTAGAGCAAGATTTACCTGGAGATTTATTGCAGCTTTGCCTTTTTGTTTCCCCATGGGAAAGTTCACAAATGATGCAGCAATCTTGTTCCAGTAATACTGTGCTTAAATACATTTCATGGATTATTTGGTATTCAGGACGTTCTTTCTGTGTGAAGAGAAAAAATAGCCAATTGGTAAAACCAGGCTGAGATTTTCAAATAGTATGACAGTGAATGTTTAACAAAACAAATGTTGCTTGCATCTCATTCAGACAATAGCCACCCAGAAAATACTTGCACTGAAATAAATGCCTTACTGTGACGATGGCAAAGCAATAGAAAAGGGTGAATAGAATCTCAGCACCTTTCTGTGAGGAACAGATATTTACAGATATTAATTGGTAAACAATTTGAATCATGCTAGTTGTGTGAGTTAACCCAAGCCATGATGGAATCATAAATATGTGCAAGAATCCCAATTCCTCATTCTCTGCTTCAATAGGTTGCTTTTCTGATTTCTGGCCCCTCTGGGAAGATGAAATTGAGGACACACCTACAGCACCTGGCAGTCAGTAGGAGAATGGCAAACAGACCCAGCCCACCATTTGCCCACCTGCTACTGTGACCATTGCCCCAGCAGCAGCTCAGCTGCTCCATCATGGTGCTGTGCACCAGCTATCCACCTTTCAGCAAAATCAGTTTGGGGATTTCCGCTTGACACAAATGCTGTCTCTACCATTGCAGCTGCTACCTTGGAGACTTCTGGTTTGCACTGCAGGCTTAATTTCAGAGGAGTCTGCATGCTCCTTTATCCAAGTTGTGTCTTTCTCCACATCAAGGATAAAATGTATGTGAAGACTTGCCACTCTCTGTGGCTGTACATAGATAATGGTATGGTCAGTTCCCAAACAGGGCACACTTTCCAGTCTTTGATGATTATATTTGCTGTAATGTGATTAGGCAAGAGCTGCAATTTTAAAATCTGACTACAGCTGGAGCCAGTGGAGATACTTTTGGATACTAAGCCTTCACCAGCTGGACTATTTATTCTGAAGGACCAAAAGAAATGAATTTCAAGTGCAATAATTCCTGGGGGGAGGGGGCTGATTGAGCAACAAACCCAATGCCCCAGCTTCAGAGTCAATGAGCCCAAACAAATCAAGTCTGCTGGCTTTAGTTTCCTGAAGGATTCCAGCTAAAACTGATGGTTTGTGCATGGCTTTAATCCTGGTCCTTTCCATCTCCCAGTTTCTGTTTCACTTATTAGTTTCCTTTCTGTATTTTAAGTAGCTTTAAACTGTAATGCTGCTGGTGGAAAAAAAAAAAAAAAAAAAAGGCTTAGTCCACAGAGAATAGTTTTCATGTATAGCTTCTGTTCTGTTGGGTCTACATGGGGGCATTAGGCTCTTTAACACGAAAATGCTGATACCTTTGGAAGAGTGGAACCATTGCTCTCTCTGAAATACAAAGGGCCTGATCCCAATCTTATCTATAATGAAGCAAACTAATAGTGACTGACAGGAACTCAGGAACTACTGCACCATTTCAAGCCAGGAATCCAACTCTCACAGGGCCATCTATGACCCTGGCCAGTAGCAGTTGCATTAAAGTACGTGACAAGAAAACTTTAGTAACAATTGTGGCATGACCTGCCTAGAGAGAAGATTTTGTCTTCACCTCCAGTTCAAAGGCTGGTTTATGTCTTGCAATATGAGCATCTGTATCCATCTCTAAAGGCTCAGACAGGTTACTTTAAGTCTCTGTCATTTTAACTTCACTTTCTTATGTACAGATTTTTCAGTTTCAGTGAAATCAAGGTATTACACCATCGTAGTGGCCATAAAAGCCAGTATTAATCTCATGAGCCTGACAAAACTGTGTATGACCTGACATGAGATCTAAATGGAAAAGTAAACAACAGACTTCCAGGAAAGAAAGCACGCCCTTATTCACTCCCTAGGTTAGGCAGGCTTTGTTTTACACGTGCATAGGGACACACTTGTTGTGTACACAGAAAGATTGATCCTACAGTGAACATCTGGAATTCATGCAAATCCCTCCCCAATCAAACACTAAAAGCTCTGTTTTATAGCATTCCACCAGCTGTGTTAAAACACTTCTGACATCATACCTGCACTCCAGCTGCCCTTGTACCCACAGGTCTCTTCTTCCCAGAGACACTTTCTCTCTTTACTGAGGAAATCTGAAGGAAGAAAAAGAAAGAGGAACATCCACCTGCACAAAGATAAACCAAGGTGATCATAGAAACATGGTCCCTCATGAGCAGCTGGGGAAATTCACATATATATCATGGTGATTTGCTTCTGCAAAGATCTGCATGAACATTTCCTTGAGTTTCACACCATGTGGATTTAAAGTGAGTTTAGTTCTGTGACTGCCAATGAATTATTCCTGATGCTGAGACAGCATCTTGGGAGAACCTTGTTCCTTTCACAAGGCATCCTAACCAGCAATGATAAATAAAAAATGACTCTGTCTGAGTCTTCTTCAGCTTCATTCCTCACTCTGTTCCCAGTGATCCTCTAACTTTGCTGTCTTGATATGTTGCAGAGGGTGCGTGCCCCAGTGGGAGAACTGCTTATCCAGTACTCAGGGACGGAGAGAAAACAATGCAGAGTGGAATGGAGCATATTCTGGGCAAGTAATCTGGAAAGGGGCCTGAGAATGCTACTGCTTTCATGTGGCATTTGTGTTTTTCACTGGGTTTGTCCAATTCAAAGCAATAAACAATCTGTTAGGTGGGAAAAAAATGAGTATTATTTTTAGCCTATTTTGCAGTAGATGGAAATGTTGCAGACTTATTAGAAAAGAATGGAAAATAGAAACTGGAGACTGCATAAAACTGTTGAGTGGAGGAGAATGACAAATGCATAGCCTGCAGAATTAAGGCTAATAAGAATAAAAGAACAAAAGAAATACCAATAATGGTACTGGTAATTTACTAGATAGAAATGAGAGAAGGGATACATCTTTATTTCTAGGTATGGGAAGAAACCAGATCCTCCGATAATCTTATCCAATGAGGAAGAACACATTTTCTGCCAATTAGGAAAAAATACATAAATTGAAGTTGAATACATGGATATCTTGTACGCAAAAGTCTGAAAAGAGCTGTCTGAGGGGTTTGTTATATTGTTGATTGAGAAGATCCAGAAGGCGGAAGGGAAACTAATGCTGCCCTACTACGTAAAATGGAGTAGGTGATATGACCCTGACATTCTTCCCAAGAAAAATAATGGCTGGCCAGTATTGGTTTCAATTAACTTAGAAAGAAAGGAGGCTAAAATAACAAGGCTGAGTTAGAAGGAAATGAGTCTTGTCAAACTGACTACAAGCTTGTGACTCTATAAACTTGCTTGATAAAGATCACAATGTCCAGATATTCAAAGGACTATAGTTTAGCTACAGGTCCCTCAGTAACACAGCCAAACTTGTTACAGTAGTTATGACCTGACTGTGATTGTCCATTCCCTAACATGGCTGCATCATTACTTGGTTGTGTATCCGGTACTTAGGCTTCATAAGGCATTTATCTTGGGATGCATGTCATTTGCTAAGTGAAAAGAATGATTAAAATCCACCTGACACACCTAAAATGGATATAAATGGATGTCTCACAATATGATTATAGATGAGATCACTACAAAGTACATGAATTTCTGCTGAGAGGCTGCTGAGAGCTGTTCATCTTCCTAAACTCTTGAACATTGTTGATGATCTGAAGGAAAACTTAAAATCATTTCTGATAGAATTTGCAGATGATATGTAGTACGGGGACATGACAAATAACAAAGAAGACAAATCACTGATAGGGAGTGATCTGGATAGCCGGATAAGTGGATTACTGCAAAAGCTGTGTTTTGATACAGATAACAAGCTAACCAGACATTCAGGAGTGAAGAATGTAGGTTCTGCTTTAACACTGGGAATTAGTCTTAAAAATGACTCTATGAACCTGATAAACGATCATCTGACATCAGGAGAGGCTGTGGCAAAAGGGACAAAGCAGTTCCTTTGTGAGTGCATAGAGTAACTGGAGATTACTGGAATATTATGTATACCCTTGTGAACCAGGTGGAGACTAGATAAATTCACATCTGAAGTAAAGGATATGATGAGAGTGAATTATTCACTGTAACAACTTGCAAGGTTGATTTTTCAGCTCTTTGTCACTAAAAAAAATATAACCATATGTTTCTAAAGGGGTAAGTCAAACAAGAAGTCCCTTGGCCAGTATTCTGCTCAAGGCCAGACTGTAAGATGCCTTTTGATTCATAATCTAGGAAGTCTGCTTGGGGGTGTTAGATGTTTTTTCTCTTCAAATATTAAATTAGACCAATTCCTGTCTACAGAAGTGAACACCATTTCTGAAATTCAATAAAATTGCTTCAACTATCATATAATATTAAAGGCACTGTTCAAAACTCATGGGAGTTAGAAAGAAGTCTTCCATCTTCTTCACTGCACTATGATGGGCCTGTCTTTTAAGTGTAATCCGAGGGACAGTACTTTCAGTAGGCCTCCTGGAAAATATCAACATGGCCTTGTGGACTCCTCCAAATGCAACTCCATGTCACTGAGATACAACTGTATCTTGAGTTTGTGATGGTTTATGATGTAAACAAAGTCCTCAGCTGAATTACAGAGCAGTATTTGCTTCAGCATTTTCTGTGATCTTGCATTTATGATTTTGTACCATTTTCTTACACCACTGAAGTGTAAATTTCATGAATAAATTCTATTATCTCTGAACTTCACTGCTTAACAAAGGAGCACATATACGTTTTCAAAATAGTTAAATTCATTCTTCTCGCATATCACAAGACGTGCGTGAAGAATCCATACTGAATAATTTACTCAGTAAATTTATAGTTTGTAAGGTGACTTTTTAAAATAAAGACCTAAGTTATTTGCTATTGCCAGATGAATCTTTTTAGTACAAAATTGGCACACATAGCTGCTACAAAACTTATTTCCTCTGAGTCTTCATGCAAGCATTCAATATTGGCACTGTAGGACTGATCACTTAATTGTTGATTGTCTCTCTTCTCTCATTAGATTCCTACCCACAACCCCCTCTCCGTTCCCTACAAACATGAAGTCTTAATGCTTCTTGCTGTCTGTGTAAAATATTCAGATTGCTGAGTCCATCCTCTGATCTTTCAGACATGGCTCAAGTTAAATTCTGAGGGTTAGCCCATCCCACTACATGGTTGTTGCAAAATCTGCTTTCCTAGATAGATGAGAAACTCTAAGTTTGTAATCTTACTTTCTTCTTTTAGGCTTCTTGTTTCAGTTTCATGGTTATAGTTCTTGCACAAACATTGTCTTTCACCATAAGTCAATCCCTTTCTTTCCCAGTATTTACTCCTCCAATATTTTTACAGCTAACAAGCCTACTTATTTCTTAGGTAGCTAGATTAAATTTACCCTTACCCACAACTCACAGATTTTATTCCAGATGAAATTTTAATATTTGTTTGTAAA